ACATGTAACATCCCCAAGCCGCCTCTAAAGAGGTAGCCGAGGAGGTTAAACACCTAGCCCAGGACTCCCCCCCTAAGCAACCCTGAGTAACCTCTGGCATACTTAACAATAACCTCCAGCATACTTACAGGCCCCTCGGGAGTCGGCTCTGATACCATTTGTAACATCCCCAAGCCGCCTCTTAAAAGAGGTAGCCGGGGTGGCCCAATATAGCCCAGTCACTCCCCCCCTTCGTAACCGATGTGGGATACCAGGACTGCGCATCCTTAACAGGAACCTCACAATCCACCCCCCTTCGGGGCTGCACGTCCCCGTGCACCACAGGCATCCTTACAAGGAACCTCCCATCCATGTTCATTCCAACAACCATACAAGATCACATCATCCCAACAATCACCACATATAACCAAGGATTCCATAAATCTCCAATTTACAAGCAAATTTCCAAAGATCCACAAATCCATTATGAGGCAATTTCAATAAACAATTAGGAAAATACAAGAGATCACCACCACNTCAACAAGCAACCATTATCAAAATCCCCAAATTTTATCATGCGACAATCCAAATAACCAATTAAGAAAAATACAAGAGATCACCACCACATCATTTTCATTACTCACACAAAGCACTAAAGTTCTCAAAACCAAGCTTGAGCAAATGTAGAAAGAGAATTCCATATTTCCCCAAAAACTAGGGTTTTAAAGCTATAAAAGAAGTTTCATGGGTAATCAATCCTAACTTTGTTTAAGACATGCCATAATTGCAAGAAAACCAAGAAGGGGGGGAGTGACTGGGCTATATTGGGCCACCCCGGCTACCTCTTTTTAAGAGGCGGCTTGGGGATGTTACAGAACATGTGAGCTTTTTGAGTGCTGAGGAGGACTGTTGGGCAAAGGGTGCCCTGGTGTGGCCCTAGGGCATTCTAGCGAGGGGCCCCATGGTGGGGGGCTACTAGGTGCCCAGAGGGGATAGCTTGCTGCTCCTCTTCCGTTGGAGGGAGTGAGGCTCATACCATGGGGTGAGGGGCGACGCCTCCCTAGACGAGTATTAATTGTATGATCTGCTGCTTCTGATTTACCAGCAGTTGCATGGGCTATAGAAGTTGTTGTCCGATGACGGGAGTCGTAGTAGCAGACAGTTCCAAGGAGGTGAAGCCTTCTCCTAGTGGGGCGGGTTGATGTCTCCCAGTTGTTAACTCGTTGACCTGGTCGTGATTGCCATAAATTTCAAGAGAGCAACAAAGTAATAGAAAACTTACCCGTTTTTCACAGGTGGCGCCAAACTGATACTGTACAAATTGGTCTCGTGCAAGATCAACATCCAAGTATGTAAAGAGGCATAATTAATGGACAATAAATAAGATAATCAATGACAAAACAGTAAATTTAAGCAAATACACATATATATAGTGGTTCGGTTCAAGTGACCTACTCCACTCTCGGGAACGACAACGATAGCCGGTGTCTCTTTATTGATGAATAAAGTAGGAAAGAGAAAGCTTCGAGAGGTGTATGCTCCAGGAAAGGTACAGTAGCTAGGGAAGAGGTACAGTAACTAGAAGAGAGAAACTATATGTGTAGAGAGGTGTAGAGAGGCAAAGCTCAAGGTATAGTGATGCGTGTTGGGAGAGATGCGATGAGATGCCTCTCCATGTGGAGAGAGCTTACAATATATAGGTTTGGTAAGGCAATGAGGTGAGGGAGAGGGCACCACCTTTTTGGTAAGTACAATTAAGATATGATTAATCTTCTTGAGTGCATATCTCGATATTTTCTCTCTCACGTGCTTTCATCTTTCCGGCTCCTTGGATCTTGGACTGGGTCGAATTGATAAAGTGGGTCTGCACTGCCTTTTAGCTGACTTGTGCTTAATCGATTTATTGGGCTTGACCCAGTCGGTTTTGGGCTCATCAGGTTTCATTTTAATCGAAAAAATGTTCTTAATATATGAGATTTACTTTTTTTTTGTCACTATTTTTGAACCGAGTTTAAAACATTTAATTAGTTTAAGGAAAGAACAATATAAGTATAGTGTTTCATATCGACTGTTGCAAAAATTAATATCCATAGTAGGCGGCATCTTACTCTGCTGAAAGGGAATGTATACCATAGTTAATAGAATTCACTAAATTCCTGATGCACCACGATCTGGGTACATCAATTCCTAACGGGTGGATTCGCGATTTAAATTATCAAAATTTATGATCCCAAATTATAAGTGATAACGTGTATATAAATTTATAATTATATATTATTTTAGATAATAGAAAATTGAGTCCAAATTTAAAATAAAAATGTTAATTAAGTTAGTGTTTATGGATGTTTTATAATATATAATGTTGTATAGTAGTAAAAATAAGTGAAAATTGGAAGTGAGTCCCCTTAGATGTACTTGTTTGGAGATAAGTCTTGTAAGAAAATTTATAAGGGGCTAAGTTTATGTTTAAAATTATATGTAATGACTTAAGTCTACTTTTTTTTTCCTCAAAAATACCATTCCTTGAAAGGAAGTTAATCTTTTCTCTCTCATATTTATCTATATCCATATATAGGTTAAGAGTTTGACTAACATTAAAATTTTTCCTCTCTCTTATATATATATATAGTAACATTAAAAATAAAAAATAATAACATTCAAATAAAAAAAAAAGTTACTATGAATTTGGATAGTAAAATTCAAATTCATATTATTATTTTTTTTATTATGTTACTGTTCATGTTATTGCTTTTGTTGAGTATGTTACTGTTCATGTACTATTATTTTTGAGTATGTTACTGTTTTTGTTGAGCATGTTACTACTATTATTTTCCTAAATATTAATATTCAATGTTACTATTTTTTTTTTTGAATATTACTATTTTTTGTATTTGAATGATACTATTTTTTGAGTTTGAATTTGAAAGAAATAATTATNATGTTACTACTATTATTTTTCTAAATATTAATATTCAATGTTACTATTTTTTTTTTTGAATATTACTATTTTTTGTATTTGAATGATACTATTTTTTGAGTTTGAATTTGAAAGAAATAATTATTGTTAAGTATATTATAATTTTTGTCAAACATATTACTATTTTTGTTGAACATGTTAATATTTTTGTTGAATATGTTACTGTTGTTATTTTTTAAAAATATTAATATTAAATGCTTCAATTTTTTTTATGTTTAAATGTTACTATTTTTTTGTATTTAAATGTATTATTTTTTGTGTTCAAATGATAACTTTTTTTATATTTGAATGTTACTATTTTTTATTTTTAATGTTACTATATATATATATATATATATATATATATATATATGAGAAAAAATTTTAATGTTAGTCAAACTCTTAACATATATATGGATATAGATATATATGATAGAGAAAAGATTTTAATGTTAGTCAAACTCTTAAGATTTAGAAATTTTTAATTTTTAGTTTTATTTCACTTTTAAAGAGAAATGATAGTATGATAAAATTGACAAAAAACGGACTTCATAACAAATAAGTTTCTTTGACGGACTTAAATTCAAACAAGTCCATATAGGGGGATCGGCCTCCAAATTTCTCTAAAAATAATGATATAGATCCAAAACGAATTGCAATCTAAAATACCGTATTAATTAAGCTTACTCTTATCGTACCATGTACTTAAAAAGTGTCGTACCACGAATTCGTACTCGTACTACATACTAAAGTGGCCCATGATTGGGATAATATTGATGTACCCTTGATTTAATAGGTAAGACACATGGTTTAATCACGCCTCGATAACTCTTGTCAAATGTCAATTTCTTAATAATACAAAAATTCGACCCTGTAGCAATCATTCTTGTTTATGCGGAATAAATGGTTTTGACTTTATTGTGATCATGTAGGTCCACAGTTATGAGTTGCGGGTGTGGTTGGATCATAGGGGGAAAGATTTGTCAGATTGGATTCTGCTTGTTTTCAATTGTTGTGCATGCCCTTTTTGGCGATTATTTCAAGATGTCTCTTTATTGATTTTTTCTATTGCTTGATGATGTAGATTTCTAGAACCTTACTGTAAAGAGCTTAATTGAGCTCATGGCTATGATCTCTTTTCTTCCATCAGGGTTTCCCAAGTTCAAGTGGTCACTACTAGCATGTTCACTTTAGCAATCCATCAAGACATGTTGGGGCCATTAAGAGCCCCTCAAGGGAAACCAAACAGCATTTCCTATGTAATAGGCCTATGCATGCGTGATTGAACCCTGCCAATGTCAATGACTGACCTGCAGTGTAGCTATTGTTAAGATAGTCTGTCAGGCCCAGTACTATTCAACACACTTATGCTAGATTGGAGATCCAAACCATGCTGGAGCTCTGACTTGCCTTGTCTTCTCAGAAATATCCCTGCTGCTTCAAGGGACAAAGAAAATTTTAAAAAACTCATCTCAAAATATGAGGCCTACTTACATTTTTAATTTTGCCTTTACTTTTTCTATTGAAGTTTATCTTGGTGGTGGAAAAGCCTACAGCCCGAGCATTTACGCAAATTCTATCTGTAGGACCATATTCCCCATTTAAGCAGTATTTTTTAGAACGTTTTATCACATTTGACACCTGAGTAGTTTTTGCATCACAGATGCCTGAATTAGCGGTAAGCTACTCAAAAATGTTCCTCTCAATTATATGCTACAATAATATTAACCCATTGGCTAACACTTAATATCAATACATACTCTACCTCCCCATTCAAGACACATGTCATGCTCCTAAGCACAAAACCAGTTGCAATTGCCATGATATGCACAATGTGTCCACACCAGGTATTGTGGTTGATAACATCTTAGTCATAAGCATCACATTGGTGCCAACCAATTACCATGATGTGTGCCACATGTCCACACCATGTTGGGATACTAGCTAACATCTTTTGCCATAGTGACACCAGCTAGTGTCATTGAACATAGGCCTTAACAATTTGAACCTTTGAAGCAATAGTATAAAGTCTATCTGAGGGAAATAGCTGTCCCTTCGTGTTTACATGAAGAAAGGCACAGCTGATGCAGTCTTCTTTTCTGCAAATCCTGAAGTTACTAATTTTCTAGCCCTTCTGGGTGCTCTTTCAAAAGCTTTCTTTCATATTTTAAGGGTATGCATTTGCTTTCTTTCACGTTTTAAGGGTCTGCATTTGCTTTCTATATGTAGACATGTACACCCACATATATATATATATATCATCCTCTAATCCACGCTCAATTAATGTTTAGATAAAAATCCTTTCCGGCAATATCCCATTTCAAGGACACACTGGCTTTGGCGGAGCAAAGTCATGGCTGTAATTATCTGTAAATTATTAGTATACTTACGCTGTATACTAATTATCAGTGCGAATATGTTAGTATACTTACGCTGTATAGTTTTAGGAAGTTTGTGACATATCAGAAGTTCAAGATATGGCTTTGCCTACTGGCCTTGATACCGTTCTGGACAGAACATCAGTACTACTGCAAGTATTGGCAAGATAATCATGAGTTTGAAGTCATTCATGCACATCTCAATAGCTTCAGAATATATCAACTGGAAACATTAAATACGTGCATATTTCTCATCCCTGGTAATTGGTCTGGGATGTTATATTGCTCGGACTTGAAACAAATCTCCGCCAATTTATGCTGCTGTACTGATATAGTTCCCGATTGGCCATGTGCAGGCATGAAATAGTCGGTGTTGTCACCAAAACAGGTAGTAATGTCCAGAAATTCAAAGTTGGAGACTGAGTTGGGGTTGGGGAGATAGTGGGCTCCGGCAAGACATGTGAGATTTGCCAACAAGACCTGGAGAATTACTGCGCCCAATTGATTTTTACCTACAACTCCATTTATAAAGATGGGACCAAGACCTATGGTGGTTATTCTGATATTGTGGTTGTTGACCAGCGCTATGTTCTTCGCTTTCCTGATAATCTACCTTCTGATGCTGGTGCTCCTCTCCTGTGTGCTGGAATCACTTTGTACAGCCCAATGAAATATTATGGAATGACGGAGCCTGGAAAGCATTTGGGGGTGGCAGGACTTGGTGGGCTTGGTCATGTAGCTGTGAAGTTAGGGAAGGCCTTTGGCCTTAAAGTTACTGTCATTAGTACATCTCATAAGAAGGAATCAGAGGCCATCAACAAGGTTGGTGCTGATTATTTTCTTGTTAGCTCAAATCCCGAAAAAATGAAGGTAAGTGAAAGATTAGCTTGATTAATTTAAAGGTGGTGAAATTGATTTGATCAAACTGGGTGAGATTTAGTGTGTATAGAGATTCAAAAAACAACAAAGAGTAAATGAATAAAAAGATTGATAATTAGATTTCACTCTGGGTCTCATTTATTGAAACTCACTACTTATTCAATGGTTAAGATTATCAAGTATAATTTTTAAGTCTATCTAGCATTAGTCATACATAAGATAAATATAAGAAAAAATAAGAAGATATGCGTCCGCCCCTACAAATTTGGCGTAACCGGTTATTCCTTAACTTGGAACCAAATTGGTTATTGAGCAGTGAAAATTGTAACAATCAATTCTCTATTATCTTTCTTTGGCTAAGTGACATGTATTTTCACAATGCTTGTTTTAACCAGCGGTATTCTTTCGGGAGGAGAATGGGCTAATGAAGCATGGGGACCATATTGGAATTGGGACCCAAAGGAAACGTNTTTGGCCTTAAAGTTACTGTCATTAGTACATCTCATAAGAAGGAATCAGAGGCCATCAACAAGGTTGGTGCTGATTATTTTCTTGTTAGCTCAAATCCCGAAAAAATGAAGGTAAGTGAAAGATTAGCTTGATTAATTTAAAGGTGGTGAAATTGATTTGATCAAACTGGGTGAGATTTAGTGTGTATAGAGATTCAAAAAACAACAAAGAGTAAATGAATAAAAAGATTGATACATAAAGGGCAATGTTACATGGACTTAAAAAATAGATTTGATAATTAGATTTCACTCTGGGTCTCATTTATTGAAACTCACAACTTATTCAATGGTTAAGATTATCAAGTATAATTTTTAAGTCCATCTAGCATTAGTCATACATAAGATAAATATAAGAAAAGATAAGAAGATATGCGCCCGCCCCTACAAATTTGGCGTAACCGGTTATTCCTTACCTTGGAACCAAATTGGTTATTGAGCAGTGAAAATTGTAACAATCAATTCTCTATTATCTTTCTTTGGCTAAGTGACAAGTATTTTCACAATGCTTGTTTTAACCAGCGGTATTCTTTCGGGAGGAGAATGGGCTAATGAAGCATTGGGATCATATTGGAATTGGGACCCAAAGGAAACTTGGGCAATGATGGATCAAAGTCCAAATTTGGCTCGTTTGTGTTGGTATTTTTTTCCCCTTTGGCCCCGTGACAGCCTGAACCACGCTGGAATTGGTTATTTATTTCACTTAGTGGTAAGGCTTGAGTTGCAATGATTGGTGCTGTGTTTTGAGTGGCTGAACCACTGAAGTCTCACGCCAACGCGTCATATTAGGCCAATTTAGCACTGGGCAGATATACTTCCTTTGCAGAACTTCCCCAAATTGAGGACGAGCCCTGATGACCTATAATGTGATTCAGCTCAAGTTTTTCAAACTCTGCAGGAATCTTGTAGAGATGTTGCATATGGATGTCGTTTTGCTGTCTTCTGATTAGATACATGTCATGAGGTGGGAGTTTTTGTTCAGCGCTTTAGACTGAGTTTTGCCTGCCATGGCATTGTCTGTGGATATGTCTCTCCGCACGTACGATGTGGGAGATAAATCAGTGGAATATGTTTTGGCCCTCAAATCAATAGATTCTAGAATATGGTTTATTGCAATGTAACTTTGAACTATTTCCTTTTGTGGTTGTTCACCGCAGGACGCTCTGGGAACCATGGATTACATCATTGACACAATTGCTACAGTTCATCCCTTGGCCCCCGTTGCTTAGTCTGCTGAAGATTAATGAAAAACTTGTTACGGTGGGCCTGCCTTCTAAGCCCCTAGAGCTGCCTATCTTCCCTTTTGGTTGTGGGTAAGACATTAATTCAGTCTCGTGGTTTTTTCATTAGAACAAGCATTATGTAGGTGTGTATCTCACAGCCACCCCTGTTGCTATGCTGTAATTTGTCCATCTATTGCATCACTGTCGAGCAACACTGCTGGGCTTTGCAGTGACCAATATTTGATTCCACTCGAGTAGATATTCCAATTAATTTGACAGAACCTATGCCCCGGAATTGTATGAGTGACTAGTACTTTTTAAAAAAACATCACAGACAAACTGACCACAAAAAAAAAAGGAATCTTGCATGGACATCTTACCAGTTGAGACGCAAACAATTTGTTTGTGAAATGTTCCATGAACTTTGCCCCATTATTTTGGAATTGTTATTGTTATCTGAATGATGATGCAAAATTTTAGTAACAAAAGGTGCATAAGCATATGTGCTAGAAATTTGCAACAAGAGTTCTCCAATGATTGAGAATTATCAGTACAGCAGTTATGATTTTCTACACTTTGGGGATTACTTTGGTGACACAAACCTTTATAAAAAAGTGCTCATGGTAGGTGATTACCTCTGAAAAACCATAATCACTAGAGTTTCGGAAACTTTTTCTTGTTTGTAAGGATTTGTTTGTTACAGTGATTGACTGAATTTAATTATGAAATTTGTTTACTATGTTACAATTACAGGACGGAAGCTTGTTGGAGGAAGTGACATTAGACGGATGAAAGAGACACACGAGATGCTAGACAATTGCGCTAAGCACAATATAACTGCTGACATCGATCTAATCCGCATGGACTACATAAGTACGGCCATGGAACGCGATGAGCCCGAATTTAACTAAGCTAGACCCAATAAATTAATAGGGGCCCACGCCACCAGAACCCGAATGAGGCCCAAGTCATCAAGGAGGAGCCTAAGTCATCAAGAGGGACACCCCTAACTCAAGTCCAACCCAGCTCAAGATCTTCCTCTGACAGAATAGGAGCACGAGAGAAATAATATCAGGATATGTTCGGAGATCTAATTTTACCTTATTTGTACTTACCAAAATAGTAGAAGCTCCTCTCTCACGTTAGTGCCTTACTGAACCTATTTAATGTAAGCCCTCTTTNCTCTGACAGAATAGGAGCACGAGGAAAATAATATCAGGATATGTTCGGAGATCTAATTTTACCTTATTTGTACTTACCAAAATAGTAGAAGCTCCTCTCTCACGTTAGTGCCTTACTGAACCTATTTAATGTAAGCCCTCTTTGCAGACCGAACCACTATAAATATTTGTGTTGACTCTTATTTACCGTTTTGCCATTGATCATCTTATTTATTACTCATTAATTGTACCTTTTTATATTCTCGACTGTTAATTTTGCGCAATACTGATTTTTGCATTATCAGAACGACTTGCCAAATCAGATACCGGTTTGTGATTGATGTTCCAAACTCNGACTCTTATTTACCGTTTTGCCATTGATCATCTTATTTATTACTCATTAATTGTACTTTTATACATTCTCGACTGTTAATTTTGCGCAATACTGATTTGTGCATTATCAGAACGACTTGCCAAATCAGATACCGGTTTGTGATTGATGTTCCAAACCCCTTGTCTCGGTAGGTAAGTCAATAATGCTGTAGTTGGTTCTGTGTCGTTTGTGTTGAGACCTTGATGCTAAAGACAATATTAAATCTTCAATTCAGCTTTATTGAAAAACATTTAAAATTTTTGTGGGTATTGTCTGGTTGAGGTGAGAGTGAAACAAACCTACCTCTGCTTGTCTTTATGCTCTATGGTATCTGTTTCATTTCACCTGCTGCCATATAATTGAATTGATACCTGCATTTTTTTTTTTTGGATTTACTTACTTGCCTACAACTACTACTGCTTTTTTTTTATGGGCCATATCAGAAGAATCTCATTCCCATTTTGGGGTTTATTGTTTATGGCATGCGTGATGAGATTACTAAAGAAATCCTTGGGATGGAAAAATATNTGTGTCGTTTGTGTTGAGACCTTGATGCTAAAGACAATATTAAATCTTCAATTCAGCTTTATTGAAAAACATTTAAAATTTTTGTGGGTATTGAGCCGCGAATAGTTTGTATTTGAGATGCATTGGAAAGATGAAATATCATATTTAACAATATTAATGGGGATATTAATGGGGTACGTGGGTTGATTCTAAGTACTTATTAGACGGGAATAAAATGAGATGGGTTTAGTTACTATACTAGTTGTGCATTAGGAGTCTAGTATGGTACTGTGATGAAGGATATTTGTCCGACAGAGAGAATAGCTTCACCCAAGTTTGAAGCCGCAAGCAAATGGAAATGGACCAGGAGCATGGATATGTCACTTAGGATGTTCCTTGTTTGTTTTTAAGGTTAATTACAAAATAGTCCATTCACGTTTGGATATTGCTGCAATTAGATTTTAATTTCAACAATTTACCCCGTAAAGTTTTGACGGGACTAAATTGAATGATGGATGAAAAAGTATAAAATTCCTAGAATACTCCCTACCTTAAATGTTATTCTCCCTCTCCACTTCGTACCCAACAGTTCAAGACCTTAGAAAAAACAAAAATTAGCCCACATAATACTTTGCCCGCCGAACCAAACTCAACCCCAACCCCTACTCTGGCGGTCGCCCACCTTTGTCCCTAACTTCGGCACTCCTCCGGCCTTCTTCCCCCACACTGACGGTCCTCCACCACCCCCACACCCAACGCCGGCAGTGGCCTTGAATCCCTATGGAAACCAACGACAGCCCCTCACCTTGATACCCAGCATAGGCTTTCCTCCTAAACCCCATCCCACCTCCAGTAGTTCCCAACCGGTGATCCATAAAAGACAAATTTTTTGATATGAAATTGGCAATAGGTTTATACGATTGAAGTTGTATGGGTGCTTATAGATTGTGTATGAAACAGTTGTATGGATGAAGATATTGGCCAAACAAGCAAATCCAACAAACAAACAAAATGGGTCTCCGCCGATTACCACCACCTGAAACTTCTCCCTTTTTTCTCTCTTTCTTCTTCAACCAGTGAACCATGACACAACTGCTACGTCTAGAATAGTTTCACAGGGGATAGGATTTTTTGGTTTGGGGTGGAGGAAATATCCGTTACAAGACGTGACAATTCAATTTTAATGTGGTATTATTAACTAATAATATCAAAATAAATAAGCAAATAAGACTCACTAAAATTAAAGAGAATTACGTTCAGATCTCTAACGTTTGTCACTTAATCACTCAGATCTCTAGCCATTTAAAATATTACACACAAACTCTTTAAGGTTTGTATGCACGTAACACTTAGANATTCAATTTTAATGTGGTATTATTAACTAATAATATCAAAATAAATAAGCAAATAAATCTCACTAAAATTAAAGAGAATTACGTTCAGATCTCTAAGGTTTGTCACTTAATCATTCAGATCTCTAGCCATTTAAAATATTACACACAAACTCTTTAAGGTTTGTATGCACGTAACACTTAAATTACTGCCGACTTTTAATATATTCGTTAATAAATTATACTAATATCACTTGAAGTTTATAGGCATATAATATTTAGACCCTTCAAATTTAAAATATTATATTTAGACAAAAAATACTCCAATCTAAGATAGAATATCAAATATTTTAAATTTTACAACTAAAATTCATATTTTATTGTATCATTTATTGAAATAAAATCAAAAATTAAAATTTAATTTTTTTCTTAAAAAATTATAATTAGTATATAATTATACTATTTATTGGAATAAAACTAAAAAATGGGTCTAAGTCATTCATAATAGAATATGAATTTTACAATCAAAATTCAAGTTCTATTATGTCATTTATTGAAATAAAATCGAAAATAAAAATCTAATTTTTTTCTTAAAAATCATAATTAGTATGTAATTATACTATTTATTGAAATGAAATTAAAAAAATAAAACAAGAAGTCAAACTGTAATGAACACAATATCTTCTAACTTTAATTGGTATAATTTGATAGTTTCATTTGATCGTTTAAACAACCAAATTAAATTCCAATAGATATTATAATTATATACTAATTATAATTTTTTAAGAAAAAATTAGATTTTTATTTTTAATTTTATTTCAATAAATATCATAATAGAACATAATTTTGGTTATAAAATTTAAAATATTTAATATTCTATATTTGATTGTAGTAGTTTTGGTTTAAATATGACATAGCATAATAAANTTGTTTAATAAAGTATTTTCCAGAACTTTGTATGTGATCAAGAGTCTTTCAGACATAGCATAATATATTGACTATAGGTAGTTATGGCATAATTTTCGAATTGAAAGTTCTTCAATAAGATTGTGAGAATTGATAATGTTGCTCTCTCATCAACTTTTCCTAAGGAATAGACACGCTACAATGATGATTATTACAAAATTAATGAGATCCGATGAAAACATTAATGGTAGAATTATCGTGACAGAATGGATGCTGCCCAGTGTAAAGCCCGATCATTTGACTTGGGTTGGGTGTTGTGTTGCATCATAATTAAAGAAAGGAAAACATTTTTTTTTTAAGAACCGTATCTTAAAATATTATTTTCAAGGTTCAAGTTACACTTTCTAAAAATTAAGTTATATTTTGATCTTTAAAAGTATTTTTTTATAATCGAACCCCATTTTTTAGCTGTAAGGTGGACCATTTTGAGTTATAACTTAATTCCTCAGAAGGTATTGACAAAAGTATCGTAATCATTTGTGGAAAAAAAGATTAAACAAATCTAGACGATACCCACAGAACTAAACAATTTCACCGGCCTTTCATGCATTATAAATAAACACAGCCATGGACCTTTTGCATTCATTATCACCCATTGAATGCTCATTTGATTCTTCTCCCATTTTTACAGAAGAATGATTACTTTCTATCACCCTTTAGCCTTCTTCTGCTTCAGCTTTCTTCGTATATATCAAGGCATAGCTTGGGGGCCTATTGATCCTACAAAAGGGTTCATCTCCTTACCATTTAATACGTCATATTATCACATTCAGAAGCCATATGATGTGCCTGAAGATCAGCGCTACAGCTTCATCGATGGAGTTCACAAGCTGTGGGTTTATGCCACGGACAAACCTCATACTCTTACAAGCCAAACAAAGCCTCGCACTGAGATTGCCATTCAAGTAAGTGTTATAAAAGAGTGCTTATTTGCCCTTGATTCCTTGTTTTAATAATCACATATTATGGAAAAAAGAAAAAGATTTAGATACCATTTGGTGACGGTTTTTAAGACACTTTGTTTAAACAAAAAAGCAAAAAAATAAAAACTAGCATTTTTTTCTTGTATCAAAAAAGAACTTTTAAGAAGGAAAATAAAAAGTATCGTGTTTGTTTATAAAAACAAAAAAAAAGAAAACCTATCTTTTTGAAGCAAATAACAATTTTACAAAAAAGCACACACTAACAAATACATATATTAATATACTAAAATATGCAAACTAATACACCAAAATACTGATATACACAAACACACACTAATACATAAAAAAACACACGCTCACTTGCATATATACTACTTCATCAAAACACACACACACACCCTCCCCCCCACACCCTTCCCCTCCCTCCATACTAATACACTAAACACATATACACTAATACACCAAAATACACACATACATAGACATAGTAATACACAAAAACACATATACACCAGCACACGTACTAATACACTAAAACACACTCACACACAAGCAATAATACACCAAAACATACATACTAACACACCAAACATCACACCCTCAAACACCCATATATACTATTACACTAAAACACCCACCCCCCACCGACACACATTAATACACTAAAAAATAAATACACACACACACACACTAATACACTAAAACACGTACATGAGCACATACACTAATCCATCAAAACACACATACACTCACACACACCCACAAAAACACACACTACTACATCAGCACACACATACACACACACCCCCACACACTAATACAAATACACACACTCACACACTAATATATTGATTCTTAATATTGTGTGCGTATATTTTGGTGTATTATGGAGTATTAGCATGTGCTTATGTGTGTTGGTATGTTAGTATGTGTGTATTTTTGGTGTATAAGTGTGTAGGAGGTGTGTATGTGTGTGTGATTTGGTGTATTGGTTGGTGTGTATAAGTTTCA